CATAGAGCCTCAAAGCCACAATAATGTGACGCGAGTCCAGAATTTGTCCCAAATGAGCTAATTTGTCCTATTTTCATCCTATTTTGACTGCTATGCCATCATAAATAATGAAAATAATCCATCAAAAAAGGCTTTATTTTTTTAACCAAAGAGGCTAGAAAAAAATCTGAAAAATTAATTATTATTGTATTATTATTAGTATTATTATTATTATTATGTTTTAATTATTAATAAATTAATAAATTATAGTTTTTTTTATTTTAAAACTTTAACAGATGGCTAATTTTTCCTAATGACATATGATGTAATAAATTTGTATTTTAAAAATTAGTCTTGTTTGAATTTTTTTAACTGCAATTTTTAGGAAATATTTTTAGAACAACAAAAAGTGTGGTTATGATGACATCTGACTAGCTAATCCAGCTAAAAAGTCACTAAAATGCACTATTTAAATCTCATAGTTAAATAGAAACTGAGGCGTATAACCGCAAAAAGGTCCACTTTTTGAGAAAAAAAGAACCACCCCTTACACCAGGCTGGCTACAGGCCTGTGAAATGATGCTGACAAGGGAGTTGAGGATCCAAACACAACGTTTATTATACAGAGATGGTCAGGCAAGCAATGGTCAACACAGAGGCAATCAGATATGGAAATCCAGAGTTGTGGTTAAATATCAGGCAAGGGGTCAGAGGGCATGCAGGAATAAACAAATAAAACAAATCAAGGTTGATATACGGAAGGCAAGGCAAGGAAAATGCATCATAATGTTCACTAAGGGCATACTCGCACTATGTACAGTTGCCCTAGAAACCGGCCAAAGCATGTTTGTCCCCTCTTCCGTCTTCCACGATGGCCCACACTCACATTACTTTCAGGCCTGGGCATGCTTACGTCATCGATGATGCCCTGTTCAGTAAGCGCTCTCGCTCAGCATGGTGAAGATTTCTCTAGTTATATAGTTTGAGTTGTTTGATGTGCGGTGAAACGCAGACAAATGTTTCACCGAACAGATCAGCCACTTTTGACGCTCATAAACAATCATAAAGTCCTCGTGCTGCAGGAATTAGGAGGTTTGCTGTTGGTGCGCAGCTGTGGTGCAGTGAGGGGTTTGCGCCTTTAATAAACTATGACAGTTTGCGTTCACTGAACAGTAAGAATGATTAATCAATCCATATGAAACAGTTCCTTAAAAGTCACGTCTCGCTTTCAGTTTCGGGCACAGGCACGTTTTGCACTCACACGCAAGCTTACCGCGCCAAAGCCCAAGTGAACTCACACTTATCAAAGGGCCTGGGCAATGGGCATTGTGTGAGTAGGGCCCAAAAGTTCAACAAGACTCAGCACTGATGTGTGTGTGTGTGTGCGCTGTATAAATGGTTCATGTAATCAGTCTTTGACAATCCTTCGGCTGTGTGTATGTACGTAGTCAAGATCAGGAACCAGTTGTGTGTGTGTGTGTGTGTGTTGCATGACTAGATCTTGTAGTCCATGAAATGACAGATTTGTAGATCTGCAGCCGCTAGATTGCTGGTGATCATAACAAAAATTACATAATTTAGATTACATTTTCATTTAGTTAAGCTCAATATTCCGAAATTATGTAAACTAAAACTAAAATAAAATAATTAGAAACTTTAAGCAATACAAATTTCATACTACTAAAATGAAAAAAAAGTTTATTATTTGTTTATTTTTGGAAAAAAGTGTCAGAAGGTAGATTTCTTTTCTGATGAATCATGTTGAAGCTCATCTCAATCATCAAAAATACTGCTGAAGAACTACTGGAACCCACATGGACCCAAGATTCTCACAGAAATCAGACAAGTTTGGTGAAGGAAAAAAACATGGTTTGGGGTTACATTCAGTATGAGGGCCATTCTGCAGAATAAATAGCAACATCAACAGCCTGAGGTATCTGGACATTTGTGCTGCCCATTACATTAAAAACCACAGTAGAGGGCAAATTCTTCAGCAGGATAGCGCTCCTACTCATACTTCAGCCTCCACATCAAAAATCCTGAAAGCAAAGAATGTCAAGGTGCTCCAGGATTGGCCAGCCCAGTCACCAGAGATGAACGTTATTAAGCATGTCTGGGGTAAGATGAAGGAGGAGGCATTGAAGAATTCAAAGGATCTTGATGAACTCTGAGAGTCCTGCAGGAACGCTTTCTTTGCCATTCCAGATGACTTTATTAATAAGTGATTTGAGTCATTGCAGAGATGTATGGATGCAGTCCTCCAAGCTCATGATGGAGTCAGACACAATATTCATTCTGTCTCCACTGCAGCATGACTTTATATTCTATACTGGACATTATTTCTGTTCAGTGACAAGACTTTTGTCTAAGAAATGTCAGACCTTACTGTCCTAATTAAATAATTAAAAAATAAGACATGATCATATTTTATTTTGGTAAATAAGCGTAATCTAGAGGCCTTTGCCTTTAATATAAGACACTTTCGATACCAAATGATCAACTAGAAGTCAAGTTGTTTCTAAGACTTGGATAGGCGACAAGACTTATGTCAGGTAGTGTGTATATTTATTTTTAATTCCTTGATTCAACTTGAATTTTAATTAAGCAAACCCAAAGTAAAGATCAAAAGATCTGATAAAAGGAAATCAACAATTAATTCAAAGACTCAATTGAACTAGTTATGACAAATCATCACTTAAAACTCGCTCAAAATGAGGCAAAAATTAAATATATGAGTATTACTCATTGGTGGAATAACCAACCAATGCTAAGTTTTACGATTTATTATTCTAAATGGAAATCATTTAAGTCTAAAATCATACAGTATATAATCACTAGTTAGCGAAGAAAATTCACTACATTCTGCCACTTCTGATATCAAACGATCAACTAGAAGTTATTATTGGTTGTTTCTAAAAGTTGGATATTTAAATATAATATATAACGGTCGTTCAGTAATACTAGTAATAATAGTAGAAAAAAAACTTTATCTTAAGTATACCAAGTAGCGACTCATGTTCACTCATCATTTGGCTTTTGGAAACCAAAAGTCACAGCATTTTTATTTTGTCTGATCATTTCTTAGAGAAAAAAAGGGAAATGAAACAATGGTTCCTGATACACCAACGCTGCAGGAACTGCTGATATATGGGTGACACTGGACATCTGTTTTATTTTCCCCCCTCTTTGCCTTTCTTCATCTGTGTTTGTTCAGTTCTTATCGACAGAGATAAGGCAGCAGCCTCTGTTTTGTGAAGTCTTAACAGCAGCCTGATAATACTTTAGGTGTGGTGATCTGAACACCCAGCATTCACGTACTGTATACCTTCACACTGAGTGGGCTTCTTTCATAACAGAGAATAAGACTAAATGTTTGAGCTGAAAATCATGGCTTTAATTGTATGAAATGAATTGTGTGTTACTGAAGAACGGAGAAGAGGATCTCAAATAGAAAACATAGTTTACAATATTTCATATGTGTCTTTGAATAATGCCTGTCCTCAAAACATCTGTGAGGAAAACTTTAGGTTATTTGTTGTTTTCATTGGTGTTTCTTTAAATGCAAATGAGCTGCTGCTCCCGCCTCCTTTCTAGAAGAGGGCGTAGCCTTTATAGCTCGTGCCAACTTAAATATTTAAATGCATTTTAACACCCAGTCAGTGTAAACTCCTCATGGTCAATTAGTATTTAAAGGTAGTACTTTTTCTTCTGAGATTTTAACAGATTTGTGTGTGTTGAGCATCAGTTAAGACAGCGTTAGCCCATGTCAGCTTTAATCGTGTATAAAACTGGATAATTTTTAGCTTTTTCAGCTAATTTCATCCTTCGGGTTTAAAATTATTTTGGGGTAAATCTGCTAGTGAAGACGCATTGTTATTCATAGCTTAGTTTTCTTATCCCAAGAGAAGACCCTGCTTATTAATTATTCATGAGAGTATGTGCTTTCTGAAGACAAGGAAGACCTGCCAAACTGTAAAACATTGAGCATGGCACGCAGAATCCATTCATGAAGAGTTGTATGTATTTGTTTTCATGATCCATGGGGTTTGTTGCAAGCAAGCTGTTTTTTCAGGATAGCTGTACGAGAATTAAAGAATGGCTGACTTCGTCTTTTATCAGTTGGGTTCGTTACCATTCAGACACATCGCGTATATCTGTGCTGCCGTGTTCGCACAAATCCTCCAGGTTACCGGCAGGACTAATGCTTGAAATCGATAGAGAAACCTGCTGCACTGCTATCCACTCCACTGTGTCTGCATTCAGACCCGGGGATTGACGAGGAGAGAAGTCCTCTTCATTTACAGTGTTATATAAACATGATTATCTTTATAATAATATAACAAATTGTGGTTATGTGTATTTAAAATTACGAATAACTAATGTAGCAGGACATTCAATTACTTACTGTTTATTTCTTTGTATTTTAACTTTGTAAACTATAAAATCATGCCACTCCTCACGGTTTGTGTCTCATTTTGTGAGCAGACTGACAAAAATTGTTCACTCCCCTCTTTCTCCCCTGTTCTGCAGACCACGCCCACTCCTCCTTCTGCACAAAGTGGGCCACGCCCATCTCGCAGCATTTTGTGAAAAAAAATCTGAGGTAGACTAAACCGAAAAAGGGGGGTTTCATGGCCCTTTAAGCAGATTATCTTTTAAATATCAAACATAGGATTTCTGTTAAAAGCAAACAAAAACACTTGCGTTTCCATAATGGTAGTTGTGTCTGTGAATGTAAGCAAGTGGAGAAAAAATGGAGTGTATCAGTATATTAGATCTGTGAAAGAACATGTTATTAATGTGGAGACCACACATTACTAACACAACTCAAATGAAATGATTTAAATTCAGGATATTCTGACAAATAAAAAAATAGGATTGCAATTGAGGCCTAAACAGAAATTGTGCTTTAAGACTATTTGTGCTATTTTTCATGCTCAAATATCAACCCAGAGGAAACGTAATAAGTGTATACATGGGGAATTTCAATAAAGTAACACATCTTTTTTTTTATTTCTCAGAACGCTCTCCTCACCGGCCCATTCTCCAGGCAGGCCTGCCAGCAAACGTCACTGTGCAAGTTGGACAAGATGCGAAGTTCGTCTGTAAAGTTTACAGTGATGCTCAGCCTCATATCCAGTGGTTGCAGCACTATACGAAGAACGGCAGCCGCTATGGTCCTGATGGACTTCCTTATGTCCGCGTATTGAAGGTAATGAATCCATATTTTTTAAAGGAATGTCATTTTATTTAAAGGTGCAGTATGTAGGATTGACTTGTAGGATTGTGGTTGAACTAGGTACTGCCAGCTCACAAAGCGTAAGTACTTTACGTTTTGTCAGTTTGGTGGCTAATTCGTACGATTTTTTACGAGTTCAGTCGTATGAAAATGTACAATTTTAAAAAATTCCTAATATCTGAATGTTTTTTTTTTTTTTCAACGGGCCCTTCCATCAATAACTTGACACACGGGCAGTTTGCAAGATCGATGACACCAACGGGAACAAGCTTACACTGTAAAACTGCTGATGTTCACGTTTGTAATATTTGTATTGCTTGCGAATTAAAAACATCTCATTAATCTGCATCTCATTTCAGAGGCTGGGCAGAGGCCACACATACCTCACATACAATGAGGCAGCCTTCTGTACTGAAATTAAACATGCTGTTTTCCGCCAATCAGCAAATGGGCTGCCGCAATATAATTAGGTAAACTGGCAATGGGAGGAGTTTCACACACTAAAAACAAAGACGAACATGGGTATTCAAAACCATACTTTTTTCTACGTGGTTTTACTGTTTGTCCACACGAAAACGCCGTCATGTCACAAAAAACCATACTTTCTAAAAAGTGCAGCCGGGGTCATTTTTCGAAACTCTGCCTACTGTTTTCTCCTTTTTTGATTGGCTAACATGGCTGGGATCACATCAAACGTGGAAGACACAAATGCACAAATTACGCACATTTGCGGCAAACTCATCACATATTTCGTGTTGTTTGCCCGCTGGATGGTAATTTGCCTCTGTTCCCACGTTTGTGTTGATTTATATGCAATTTACTCATGCAAATGCTTAATTTAACTATTTGGATTAAACCCAGTATAAAAGTGTCATTACCACCACCTGTTGGTTCATCGTGCTCTAAACATGCATCACGTTTTTTTTTTTCTTCTTTTTTTTTTTTTTGCGTTTTTATGTGGACTGAGAGTTTTTTTTTAAAAATGAGAGCGAGGAAAATCCCATTTGTAAAAATACCCCTGTATGTGTAGACAAGGCCTTGAAGTTCGCACACACCGGAACGCTTTTTGTTCACTTTTATCGTCAGTGTTTTTCAAGATGTTATTCTCCATTCAGATCCAAGAGATTTTCACTGCTGTCGAGCAGAAGAATGTGCAAAAAAACTCCTTGACGTTAGATGGCACTAATAAAAAAAACAGAAGGACCCTGGTGCACAGGGTGGCTCTACACAACTTTAAGCTTCTGAAACACAGAAGAAGAAGAGAGAAAGTTGATACATTTGTTTCTAAAATCCTTCACATTGTTTACTGGCGATTCCAACAAGCAATATTGTCGATGTCTTGTTTATCATACAGCATTTTTCATTCTGACAGTACAATAAGTAGCTCTACGTTCATATTGCCTCTGGGCATCTTCTTCAATGCGCACTCGCATTGACAGTTTTACGCTTGAGCGATATCAACTGCCCACTGTAAGCTCTGTGCTGTTTACAGCAACTCTGTGCACGTGAACCAAAAGCTAATCTGATTGGTGGAGAAGACGTGGCACATCAAGACAAAAAAAAATAAAAAATAGCATGAGGCGTTTCTTTAAAAATGACACTTTTATGCCTGGCGTTTTGTGCGTTAGTGTGCACGATCAGATTAACGGCCTGTATTCATGAACCGTTAAGCGTTAGCAAAAGAAAGCGGCCCGGTATGAACAGGCCTTTAGATACAGAACGCATTTTTAAAGGAGAATAACTGACTAGAATTGTTTTTTAAATAAACAAGTATGCCAACTTAGCATTTTTATAAAGACTTTAAACAAAATTGAACAATGAATTGAAATGGCGTCATTTTAAACAAAGTCTAGCCAAATCGAAGTTTGCTTTAAATTCATTTTGGAGTTCGAAAACACCCACCAAAGTCAACAACTGGGTGGAGTTTGTTTTGACTACTTAACACATTTGAGCTGCCAATGGTCTGTGATGATCACGCAATCAGTAACTATGTTCTGGAACTCCACCTTCTTTCAATAATCGTAAACAGTATATATTCACTCAGCCTTTTCAATCTTCTTTTTGCCCTCAAACGAAGAACAAAAAAAGCTTTATTTGAAGTATGTTGGGGCATTTAAATACAGCACAGGCTCATTCTGAAAACGTAGCTCTATATACATTACTGGAGATTGCGAATTATGTAGCCAGAGTTACATATGGCTGCATTTCATGTTTAAAATGAATGCAATGGGACGGTATGATGGCGTTCCTTTTGTTGCTTATCAGCTGACTGCTTAACTGCATGTGGACGGCATTTCAGCTGTTACCGGTTTGGCCGGTAGCTCGACACGTACATCAGCAGACTTGAAACGCAGAGTGGAGTTGACCTTGACAACGGGGTTTGAGTCTGATAAAGAACGGTTTTCTAAAGCAGATAATACGAAAACAAAAGGCAAGAAATAAAATAAACAGGTAAATAACAGGGTGAGAATGTGGTAAAATCTGAAAACCTGGTAAAAATCAGGTGGACTTTCTTTTTCTGGATTGCTTTTTGAAACAGTTGGCAAGTGCAGTTGGGTTTAGGGAAGAGGCTGGGCGGGTCAGTAGGTGCTTTGTAAATTGCTATTGGTTGGTTAGAGGGAAGAGGGAGGGGATTGGTCGGTTGATCAGTTAGTCAACTGTGGCCTCTGGTGTGTTTATGTGGGAACAGCAGGCACGAATGGCACTCGCGAGAGAAATTTGAGATCTGAAAAAACATAAACAACATCCTCTGGTGGATTCGTGAAAACAAAAATTGCATTAAAACGTAGCTCCTGGGACATATTTGGCGCTCTCCAGAAACGTATATAGGGGTATGTAATCAGAATGAGCCTGGTTTGTTTGAACAACTATGTTTTTATGCTTTAAAAGAGTCAAGAACACACCGCACCTTTATTCTCAAATGTTTTCATGCTTCTGATTTCTTTTAGATCTTGCAAAGCCAAAAGCCTTGCAGGTGAACTCTTATTAGAGGGTGGTGGTCTCTTCTGTTCCGCTTTGTGAGAATATTGTAACAGGTTCCCATATGTGTGTTTTTGTCCCTCATTGCGGCGCCCCCTAGAGCTCGGGCATAAACAGCTCGGACGTGGAAGTCCTCATGCTCACCAATGTCACAGAAGAGGACGCTGGTGAAATTACGTGCAAAGTGTCCAATTATATTGGTGAGGCCAACAATTCCTGTTGGCTCATTGTCATACCAGGTAAAAAAGCAGGAGCGTGGCGCCCCTTTCCATCTCTGCTGGTGTGTTGGGTTGTTTTTTTTGTCGTCGTGGTGATCGTGGGATTTTTGCTGAGCCGTTGTGGTGTGGTCTGGTGTTTTATTTTCCTCATTTTTTTTTTGGTGGATCTTTCCTGGTGCCCCTGAAATCCAGCCAATCAGCCATGGAAACAAGCCTTTGGTCTGTCCTCGCCACTTGACTTCCTGTTCTGTGTCAAGTTTCTTTGTCTTATTCCACTTCCCCCCTTTCTCCTATAACCTTTTTTGTTTTGGCTAAAAGGCAGCGGCTTGTTTTCCATGTTTCCTCACTCGTGTTTGCATGGACCCCGCTGGGTTCACCTGTGTTGGGTACAAAGGTTTCAACTTCCATTGAGCAGTGGTGGACAAAGTACACAAAATTAGTACTTGTGCAAAAGTGTAGATACCCTAATACAATATTACTCCTGTAGAAGTATAAGGTACTAATATTTGATATTATTTAAAAGTACATAATTTGTACATTACTTAAGTAATAAAAGTATTTACTGATGAATGTTTATCTTTTCTAAGAAAGTTGAATTAACAAAACGTGTCATACTCTTATAATCACACTGATAACTTAAGTAAAAACGTGAAACCACATTCAGACCATTTTGTAAACTCTGTGAATCATTTAATGGAGACTCACTCTGAACAGATCATTTAAATCAGTGAATTGTTTACTGAAGACTTTGAACATTTGAATCAGTGAATCAATCATTGGAGACTCTGAACAGATCATTTGAATCAGTGAATTATTTACTGATGACTCACTTTGAACAGGTTATTTGAATCAGAGAATCATTTACTGAAGACTCTGAACAGATCATTTGAATCAGTGAATTATTTACTGACAACTCACTTTGAACAGATTATTTTAATTGTGAATCAATCACTGGAGACTCTGAACATTGGTCATTTGAATCTGTGAATTATTTACTGACAACTCACTTTGAACAGACTATTTGAATAGTGAATCAATCACTGGAGACTCTGAACAGATAATTTGAATCAGTGAATGATTTAATGACGATTCACTTTGAACAGATTATTTGAATCAGTGAATCAATCCCTGGAGACTGAACAGATAATTTGAATCGGTGAATTATTTACTGACAACTCACTTTGAACAGATTATTTGAATCAGTGAATCAATCACTAAAGACTCTGAACAGATCATTTGAATCAGTGAATTATTTATTGACAACTCACTTTGAATAGATTATTTGAATCAGTAAATCAATCACTGGAGACTCTCAACAGATCATTTGAATCAGTGAATCACTGACTGTAGACCGAACAGATCATTTGAATCAGTAAATCATTTACCAAAGACTCACTTTAAACACATTATTCGAAT